ACAGTTAGGATTTTGCCCAAGACAAACATTAAACAATGTTATTCAAATAAATTTACTTTTCGCCATTTAGTAACCGATAGATTTTATGTGCCGTAAAAAGAGAACAATCAATTGATCAAATAAATTTAGCGAATTTATTTTGTTTATCAATGTACAAAAGGATTATTTTATCGTAAAACAACTAAAGCAGATAAATATCGCCTTTTGATATCTCCCATCAAATGTATAGAAACGGTCAGTGTTTCTATTACTGCAATTCGACTTCTTTAATCCGGCATTCTTTTGACCAGGCCACTGCCGACGATACAGAAAGTGCCGGATGACAGATTTAATCCCTAAAAACATCCAGTCCTGAGTATGACGATAAACTACATCCGGCAGCAATCAGGAGGTTTTGAGGAGCGTGGAGCCACCTCTTAATTACTGTCGTTTCCTGGTCCACCCTGATCAGGGGTGGTAGCACATGTTAGGGTCGCATCTATTGGTAAATAGTTAATCCCCCAAACTGGGGTCAAAACATTATGTACGTATGAAAGATGTTAGTAAAAGTACCGGCAATTCATTTGCATAGTGAAAAAAAATACACACAATTCATTTCTGTAAGGAAAAAAAAATTACTTGCAATACATTTTTGTAAAAGAAATTACTTATGGTCGAAAGAAAATTAAATTTTGACATTAAATGACCCATAAGGATGTTGATATGTCGCTAAACAAACCTGTTTACCTAAGGTTTTCTCATATATCTTACTGGCGCTCCTTTCTCTAATCTCTTTTCAAGCATAGATAAAAATTTATACTTATTCTTCTTACCTCTGGTATCATCATCTGCACCCTCTACCTTCTTGGATAATAATAATAATAATAATAATAATAATACTAATAATACTCAGACTTTCGGATTGAGGTTGCCAGCTATAGGGACGTCCAGATCATTATTGTCACTGTTATCATTGGGGTCTCTTCCATTGAAATTAACCTCTATATTTTAAGAAAATAGAGGTCAGTATTGCCCCTGAATCGATAAATATTATTATTACCAAAACACTCTTCTGCCGTCGGCTGCTGTGGGAAGCTGTAAACAACGGGTGATGCTGCTCTTGCAACCGTTCTACGAACAAATGGCGGTTGATTTAAAAAGAAATGCTAGACATTTCCATATGTGTATCAGACCATACAACATGACCATCATCCAAGCCTAGACTCCGACATTAGAGCACGATGACGAGATAGTTGAGGAATTCTATGACTTATTAGAATTTACTTTGAGAAAAGTCCCCCGGATATGCATCAGCATTATACAAGGTGATTGGAATGGCAATGTAGAACCAGATGCGAACACAAATTGGACAGGAACAGTCGAAAGATTTAGAATCGGAGAGACAAACGACAGAAGTCTCAGATTGCTCGAATTTGCTAGAAGTCGTCATTTCAACCTGGCTAACAATCTACACCCCCATAACCTGTCTCAAACCGCAAGCTGGCACTCACCTAATGGGAAGATCCGTAACCAGATCGATTTTATTTTGGTTCCGTAATTCCATTTTTTTTGCGTTAGTGTCCTCTTCTACGCCCACCTTTAACGGTTACTTGCATGATTGTCATGCGCAGACTGTCGTGCCTTTGTACTGAGTCCAAACCTCGCCATTTTTTCTCCATTTGCCACTGGCGCGAAGAGGTTCTTCATCTGTACACAGTTGTAAAAGATTTGATTTGGTTTCATTTGTTTAACGGCATATCAACTCCTTATGGGTCATTTAGTGCCGAAATTTAATTTTCTTGGGAGCTTTGATAATTGTTTTTTGCAATAATGTATTGCCGCTAATATTTTTTACTATGAAAATATATTGCTGGGATTCTTACTACAAAAATATATTTTATACTGCCATAATGTTTTAACCCCATTTTGGGGTTCACTATATGCGTATGGCTGAGACCGTAGCAGGTGCTACCACGCCGGGTCAGCGTGCACCTGGGAACAACAGCAATTAAGTGGTCGTTCCACGCTCCTCAAATCTTTACAACCAGAAGCCTTGCTGCCGGATGTAGTTTATCGTCATACCCAAGACGCTGTAAATGATGAAATGTAATAATTTAATTGTTAGGTAATGTGTGTGTCTATGCTATACATCATTGGGCGTGAACGCGTGCGTGTGTGAAAATACAGTTGAATATCACCCAGCGAATATATATTATTCCCAGTGGGGTCAAGTCCCATTTTGGTGTTGCGAACTACCTCACGACAGGTTTAAAGGAGGAGAGAGAGCGAGAAGGAGAAGGCTTGCAATCATTTTTTAAAGTCCTTAAAAAATGCCACCTAAAGGCGACTTTGCATAGCAAGTGGGTGTAATCCCCACATTCTCAAAGAACAAGAAACACTATCTATCTATCTATCTATCTATCTATCTAGAGAGATAGATATAGATATATAGATAGATAGATCTATATATTTTCTAAGCGTGGCATACGTATGGAGCCTCTAGTGAGGATTGAACTCATTATTCATGTGTAAATGATCTAGCGAGACAAGCTTACTAGCCATTACACCACGTCGAAGTTCCCTTTATTTTCTAAACGTAGATTATATGTGGCACAAAACTAAAAGTTCGGGGCACCCAGTGAGGCCCGAGATCACTACTCAGTTGCAATTGATTTAGCAAAACAAGCTTGCTCCTCATTACACCACGTGAAGTGCCCAAATGATTTTCTGAGTTTAGATTAGATGTAGCTTAAGGCCGAAAGTCTGGTGCACCCAGTGAGGATCGAGATCACTACTCAGTCGCAATTGATTTAGCGAGGCAAACTTGCTAATCATTAAAACATGTCAAAGCGCCCAGATGAATTTTCGACAGAAGCACTTCTGTTCGCGGCAACCATTTCATTATCTTATTCAAACAAATTTTGAAAAGTTATTTAGTTTATCAAAGTACAATTGAAAAATCCCTCTCCAGGCTTGCTAGAATCCAAAATCGTTTCCGAATCCTTATTGGAGAAGCGTTATTTTTCCTTTCCCCCCTCCAACCTCTCACAGGCGGGATGTGTCGAGGTTCCCACTGCTCTATCGTTACTTCCATGGAAAGTGCTCGGACGAACTACATTCCTTGATTCACGGCTACGGCCCACCATGCCACTTACACAGTAGCAAACCACCCTCATTACCCCCGTATTCCATTGTCGAGAAGTAAGTTCCACTCCAACAGCGTCTATTGCTATGTGGAACAGACTCCCAAGAGGATGTTTCACAGATCACTACAGTCATAACCGATTTAAGTCTAGGTTTAACCGTTATCTTCCTCTCCTAACAAACTCTTAATGTAACCCTCTACCTCGAGTGGCTCCTGGGTCTTATAAAAATGATGCAGGTATTACTTTTAGAGAAATCTGTTCTAGTATTTCATTGATTTGTTCAGTTAGCGCATTTTGCGCCGCTGTGGCCATCACCTCCCTCCATTTCAACAATAATAATAATGACGATTATCATTTTTATTCAAATTTTTATGTCTTAGTATTGAAGCAAAAAAAAAAAAGAAGATATTATATATCCTTGAATGGCATGCAGTCAAATTACATGACGGTGTTGCTACTTACCGGATGTTAGGTTGAAAGGAGGAAAGACAGAGAGCGAGAAAGAGAAGGCTTGCGTTCATTCTTTTATAGTCCTTAAACAACGCTAGGTAACGTCGTCTTGACATACCAAGTGGGGGTAATTCCTAATTCCTACTAAGCTACGAGAAAAAGTATCATCTATGCAGAAAATGTTTTCTGAGATCAATGATCACAAAAGGCCACAAGCGAATGAATTAAGGAAGACACTTCTCCATCAAAACCTACAAACTGGTGCTGCAAATTCAAAAATGTCTTACCTTCATAAAACCAAATTCATTGCATTCGCTTTTTCAAAGACACTGTTGGCAATATCATGAATTCATCTTTTTCGCCACCGATCTATGGATTAAATAGTAGGCCATACTGAATTCTGTAGCCTTGGTTGGAAAACCAGTCTAAGAGACGGAAAAAAGCAGAATTGAAAACCGCTTGGGTGTAATAGGAATTTGTAGGTCTGATGAATTAGATCGTGATTACAATTCCAATGTAATAAATTATAACCATAGAATATTAGTGTTTGAGTCTTTCATATATATATATATATATATATATATATATATATATATATATATATATATATATATATACATACTAAAAGATATACATAATAGTTTACATTAATTGCACAACTCCGAGTTTCAGACCGAAGGAATTTTCAAGTTTCTGGAATTATATTTATTTAAATATAAAAATAAATACAATAATTCCACCACTGGCAAACTGTTTCAGCATAAAACTCGAAGTTGTGCAATTAATTATATATATATATATATATATATATATATATATATATATATATATATATATATATATATATATATATATAAAATAAACGAATAAATTTTTACCTTGGGGAATCCTTTAAGTTAATACTTCGTTGGAAGGAAAACCTTGGCGTCATTAATGGCAAGAACCAATATCTAGATCATTCACACAGTAATTAAAAGAAAAGTAGTGAGCAAAGAAAATTATGGAACATGATTTAAATATGGGGAAAATCTAACTTTTGATGGTCGCAATCGCCTTGGGGTTAAAAGATTTGAGCATTCAATATTCAAATAAGCTATCATGAAATTTGGATCCCAGAAGCCAATCAATCCGAGCTTGAATGTTACATGATAGTGAGGACTTTACCGATACATATAGCATGCCTTTCGTAGCGCTTATAATATAAGTAAAGCTTCGGCTACTTGCCCTGAAATTAAAAAATTCACGTGTAAACTTCTTTTTGGATATTAGTAAAAAAAATAAAAAAAAATAAAAAACAGAATTGAAAACCGCTTGGGTGTAGTGTTGGCAAAACCAGCGCATAATCACCAAATTATCGATAGATAAATATATAGACAAATATGAATAAACTGCGATAGGCAGATAAATAGCCAGATATGAATAAACTGAGATAGATATATATGAAGAGAATGAGATAGATAGATAGATAGATAGATAGATAGATAGATAGATAGATAGATAGATGAAGATATAAAAAAAAACTGGATTGAAAAATGAAAAAAAAAAACAAGGTGGATTTAGATTGACAGAAAATGAGGGATATAACTAGACTACTATACGCGCACACGAATACGCACACGAACACACACAAACACACAAAAATACACACGTTCCCAGAGACAGAAACAGGGAGATATATGGAGATAAAGTAATGAGAGAGAGAGAGAGAGAGAGAGAGAGAGAGACAAAGTTGTTCAGGGTTGGTGGAAGGAAGAGAGAGAGAGAGAGAGAGAGAGAGAGAGAAAGAGAGAGGGGGGAGTCGACAGTGTTTACAAATTTTGAAACAAAAGCCTCCACCTAGACACAAGGCACAAAAGGTGGCAAACAATTGGAGAAAATGAAGTGCACAAATAATTGCAGGAATCAAACAAGTTCAATGTTTTCAAAAGTGAATAGAAAAAGTATCGAAAAGTATGAAATGCTAATTTGAACTTTTATTTTAAACTCTTTTTCAATGATTATTTCCTTTTAGTTTTAGATAAAAATCTTGGCCTGACTTTACACACACACGGACAGACAGACACACACACACACACTCTCTCTCTCTCTCTTACACACACACACAAACACACACACACACACACACATATATATATATATATATATATATATACATATATATATATATATATATATATATATATATATAAATTTATGTGTGTGTATCGCGGGAGAGTGAAACAGTGGGAGATTGATATAAGGAGTGTAAGACATGAATAACAGACAGATATGAATAACATGAGAGTGAGAGATATGAATTTTATGAGATTAATGATTAGCAAAGGTTAAGAACGATACATACGGACAGACTAAGTTGCCTTTGATGGATATATAATAAAGACAATGTGATAGATAGATAGATAGATATATAGATAGATAGATAGATATGAAGAGACTCAAATAGTTATGAATAAACTGAAATAAACTGAAAGATACATATGATCGAGGATACGAACACAGCAAGATAGATAGATCGATCGATAGATAGATCGATAGACAAGGAAAAAAAGAAAATAGATAGATAGATTGATAAAGTAAGAGAAAGAAAGATAGATAAATAAAATATCAGAAACAAAGATAGATATGGAAACGCTGAGATTACTATGAAGGTACAGAGATAGAGATATATATAGATATATACAGTGTGAAATTGATATATATATATATATATATATATATATATATATATATATATATATATATATATATATATAAATATAAGTAAACAAAGATAGATAAATATGGGCAGTGTGATATTGGTAAATAGATAGATATATAGGTAGATAAATAGATGTGAACAGACCGAGATAAATAGACAGATACATACATACATATATACATACATATGAATATTTTGAAATTGATTTAGAGATATCAGCAAATAGCAGCAGAGATATAGATATTGTAAGTGATTGTATGCTGTCATGCAGGATAACACGTTTTCCAACAAAAGCAAGACAAATATGCTTCATACCACACAATATTTGCACTTGAGAGTTACGACAAATGTTGTTTTTCTTTTTTCTGACAGATCACGCGTATTTTTAGCTTAACCAATTCTGTAATATTGTAATCTAAACTGGAAATTGTGAGTGGTGCTGTGTATGACATCAAATACATTAGTACACAGCTGCGTGCGCACACACACACACACACACATATATATATATATATATATATATATAGAGAGAGAGAGAGAGAGAGAGAGAGAAAGGGGGAGAGAGAGAATGTTAATGTCAATATATATATATATATATATATATATATATGTGTGTGTGTGTGTGTGTGTGTCTGTTTAAATATATATATTCCCAAGAGGATAGAATCCAGGTAGATCTCACTGTCCAGAAATTTGAATTTGTAGGTCTAATGAATTGATCGTAATTACTATTCCAATGTAATAAATTATAACCATGGAATATTAGTGTTTGATCCTTTTAAATTCTCTCTCTCTCTCTCTCTCTATATATATATATTTTTATATATATATATATATATATATATATATATATATATATATACTAAAAGATATACATAATATTTACCTTTATCAACTCCTGAGTTTTCATGCCGAAGAATTTTTAAGTGCTGGAATTATATTTATTTAAATATAATAATAAATACAATATTTCCAGCACTTGAAAACTGCTTCAGCATAAAACCCGAAGTTGTGATATGATATATATATATATATATATATATATATATATATATATATATATATGTGTGTGTGTGTGTGTGTGTGTGTGTGTGTGTGTAAATTTCCAAGCAGATAGAACCCAGGTAGAGATCAATGCCCAGGACAGAGCAATAATATAATATAAAGACACAACACTAATATTCCATGGCTATAATTTATTACATTGAAATCGTAATTCATCAGACTTACCAATTTAAAAGGCTTTTTGAATTTAGGTCTGAGGAATTGGATCGTGATTACGATTCCAATCTAGTAAATTATAACCCTGGAAGGTTAGTGTTAACCTCGGATAGCACATCTTGTAAGTATATCAAAACAAATTGGAACCGAGATCCCAGTAGTGTTTGGATAAGGAAGTTTGATTTTTTAGGTATCGATATTTAAAAGAGCGTCTGTGGTTATACAGATGCTGCTTCCAATTACCATCTTATATACCTATGTATCTTTTTTTTCTGGCTGATATTTTCTTCGGAGAAAATTGTAGCTTCATATATTACATTCTCATACATCCCCTGATTGGACAATTAGCTCTACTCCTACAATTACAGGTGGGGCTCCTAGATCGAGTTTCACTATTATGGTAGTTCTTAAGTATTTTACAATTGTGGGAATATATAATTTTCTCCATATTACTTACACATGAATAACTAATTTTCAGTGTCTTCCTATTGAAAATTTTATATCGTTGATGTTTACTATCAAAGTGATTGTATATTAACCTTAGGAAGAAACTCCCTATATCAATATTGAAAAGCCTGCAATACGGTGGTTTAAACCATATTACTTTCCTCTTTCTGTTTTTATATCTATTAATACTATGATTTTTCAATTCTTCGTGATGGTTTACTTCCTGTTTAAAACTACTATTCTTAAGAATAGGTTGTATGCACATTTTCATTAAAGATTTTCTAGCTATTTATTCTAGCATTTACAGTTTTGGGGATGTGATCTATTAAAGATTTTGAGTGGTTAGAGTAGTGGACATTGATGTACCAGTGTGTCTGATTAACTTTATGGAAGAGCTTAAATATTTCATTAGGGAGGTTAAGGTTGATATCTAGATACATAGGTATATCCGCTGGTAAATGGAAGTAGCGTCTGTACAACAACAGACACTCTTTTAAATATCGATACCTAAAAAATCAAACTTCCTTATCCAAATACTATTGGAATCTGGTGGACAAGGGACTAACCGCGCATTTGGAATGGAGATCCAAATCAAGAGCGGGAACCCCTGGTAACTTCCGTGACCGGTGTTATCTATGCATTGCGAGAAAAATTTTTGTTATTAAAGATAAAAATCCAGAAGAATTGCTGAATCTTCGTAGTGAGATCATTTCCAAATGTGGACATAAAAAACGCTTTAAACATAAACACTATTTTATAACGTGTTGTTACCTATAACTGTTCGATCTTGGATTCTTAACATCGGATATGACATTTAAATGGAATAACACTTATAATTACCTATGCACCATTGCCTGTGTTTATGTGGTGCTCTATATATTTTTTAATCTTTAAATTTGTTTTATCAGTCTTGATATAAGTTTTGGTATATGTGTATGTGGGTATGTATGTAAAAAAGTTTTTCTAGATAACTGATATATAATATCTGATAGTTTTCTGATATTTTTTATATACGGAGGTTTGTAATCACTCCGTGCTTCCGTTTTCTTATATAAATGTATGTATGTATGGGTGTGTGGTATATACTTTTTATTTATCTCTGTGTCGTCGTATAATATATATATATATATATATATATATATATATATATCGTATAATATACAGTGCTGTTCGATAAAAGTGACTCACCGGATTTTTTTTACTAAAAATATTTTTTGTCAATTGTTTTTGTGGTTAAAATAATTTTTATTCTTACTAATATAAAGACCCCTTCCCGACGACCAAGGTAAAAAAGTTTATTCACCCTAAGGTATTCTAGTGATAATTATAAATTTGAATATAAATGAGATTCAGGAAAAAAACTCTGTTAAAAAAAAGTGACTCAGATATCGCGTTCTAATGATTAAACTGGAAAATTTAAAGAGCTTTTGACAAAATATGGAAAACTATTTTACAATACACTCAGAACAATATTCTAGAGAATTCTAGAACCGCTTAAATTAAATCTAGAGTATTCCAGAATATTCCAGAAAGACTCATACAGTACAAAAACAGCTTGAAATATCCACTGAAGTTACTAACTAGATGAAAGGGTACAAACATGCATCAGAACCACTTAAGGCATCTATTATTGCCCTCTCAAAAGCAGGCAAGTCTACGAGAGAAATTGCAGAAATTGGTATAACCTCGCAACCAACTGTCTCTGGAGTGTTTAGGGCACATAAAAATGCCACTCCTGCTCCAAGGAAGGAAACAAGGGGACGCAAGAAAAAGATTGATGATAGAACTGGCAGGATAATCAAGAGAAAAGTTGCGAAGAAAAGGACTATAACTAGCAAAGAAATTGCGGCCAGTCTAAGCGAAAAGCAAGCTGTTAGTCTTGCCTCTTCAACAGTCCGTTAGAACAAGGTTACAAATCTTGTACACGAAGGTTTAAGCCACTAATAAGCAAAGTCAACAAAGCCAAGAGACTTGAATTGGCTCACTATTATAAAAATTTCACCGTAGAAGACTGGAAGAATGTTCTCTTCTTCGATGAAACGAAAGTTGAGCTAAATTCAAAGGATAGGGTGAGTCACTTTTATCGAACAGCACTGTATATAGACGATTGGGTCTAGTATGAAACAGCCTGTCACCTGTGAATGTTGACTTCAGTGTTCACTTTTATATTTATATTTATATTTAAATATATAATGTTGTATACTTGTATATGTGAGTGTGTGTATATATATGCATGTGCACATGTGTGTATTGTCATATGTATATGTGTTTGTGTGCACATGTGTATGTCTATGTGTGTATATTTGCGTATATGCATGAGTGTGTGTGTATATATATGTACATATATATGTATATATGTGCTCGTATATATATATATATATATATATATATATATATGCAGGTGTGTATGTATGTATATACGTATGTGTTTATGTGCTTATAAATAGTAGGGTTTTACTGGTTTAAATATTTTTATATGCTTATATTAAATTTGTAATCTGGAGTGTAAAATTACATGCTTTTTCTAATTCTTGATTACACATCATTTCTCTTATAAATGCCCACGTTTTTAGTTTGGCCCCTTTTTTTCCCTTGAGCTTTTTCTTCCTCTCAGCAAGCCTCTACCTTAAGTGGCTCTTCGGTCTTGAATTGTGTGTGCAATCACATAAAAACTGTTATATTTTTTTAAAAGTCATTTCACTTATAACCTGGATACACAACATTCCATTTTACAGTGGCTCGAGGCTTACGGTCAAATCACGTTGAAAAACACTTTCTGTACGATCACAGAAGCAACGTCAAACTTGGGTAACCCCTCGGGAATACCAGCTGTTGTAAGCTTGGATGTACAGATGGTGTAATGGACAATGGCCAAGAATTGTTAATCGGAGATCCGGGTTCTAATTCCCGTTGTGTTTGTTATATTCACTTATACGCAAATATCATTAAGAAAGTTATGAATCCAGGGCCTTCAGTCCGGACTCTTCTGGAGTGATTGACAGAGGAGAAGAAGATGCTGCGGTTGTAGTATCTGTTCCGTGCCGGAGGTCTTCTCTCCTCCCTTGCACTCTATCCCCTGTTGCGTAATATCTGTCGCGTAGCGGTGGTTGACTGCCTATGACTAGCTAGGAACACTCTGACCAGCTTAGACAAGCTATGGCCTGCTAAGACCAGTGGAAACACTCGGGTCCCCACGTTAAAAACCGACCTTGTATCACAACGTGTCTCAGAGGGGGGTTAAGGTAAATCTTGAGAAAGTTATGGATCCATTTGTTTTCCCCCAGCTATGGATTAATTAGTAAAACTTTTATCACAAAACTATTAATATTTCCAAAACATTCTACCCAATCTAAAAATATTTTCTGGCTCTAAATAACCTGCAAAAGGTTGATAAACCCTAGAAAAAAATCAATAAATAAAGAAATAAACAAGTGATTGAATATCCGATGTAAATTTGTATTTATAAAGTCATAATGATTAAATAAGATTTGATTTTCAACAAAACGCTACTAAGTATAATGCAGCATTAATTCTTCCATGTGTGGACTTGGTTTATTTGGTTTTACGGCATATCAACGCCTCAAATTTTAATGCTGACAAGATTTTTAGGATAGGTTCGTATGAATTAAATATGTATACTTTGTAAGAAATCAGTTTCTAAATCAGGTTTCATGTAATGCTGGCAATATTTCTGTTTCAAAAATATTTTGCTGATCATATTTTTTTTTCAAAAAAACATATTGCTGTTAATTTTACTATAAAAATCTATTTTCTTACTTTCACATATTTTGACCCCAGTTTGGGGATTAACTATATTCCCATAGCTGGGACCCTAACAGGTATTACCATCCCTGCTACTGGGAACAACAGCTATTAAGAGGAGGTTCAATGCTCCCCAAAACCAGCGGATCAAAGGTCTTGCTGCCGGATGTAGTTTATCGTTGAACCGAAGGACGCTCAAATTCTCACCATCATAACACTCAGAAAGACTCCGTCAGTCGAATCTGCGTTGCAATTTCACCCTGCCATCTTACAACCGCGCAAATATATCAAGAAATAGCAGGCAATATTCCCGCAATGAAGAATAACTTTCCAGCGATTGAAAAATCGACTGCGTAGTCGAAGGTCACCTCTTGAAATAATTAATGTAAATGCTCTGTTGGAGAACGTCCCAGATCCTAATTTTCATGACGCTGTTCGTACAGCAACTGAAAATAGAACCGGGAAATCTGTAGAATCCATTAATTTCGAACTAGGGGTCAGAGCACCGCTTTGGCTGTCACAGCATAAGAACAGGTCGCCTTGTACAGAACACAATGTTAAAGGAGATCTTTAGCCGACATTAGACAGATAAAATACCGTCAAATATGTGCTACATTTTTTAACGACATTGAGAGATGATGCCGCAATCTAAAAATAACCGATAATTGTTTTTAATAATTCCAACACAAGCAAGGCAATAAAGTGACTAAGACGCATTTATTTACTGACAGTGAAAGAATATGAAAAAGAAGAACATTATTAAGTAGAGAGAACAATAAAAGAACAGTAACTAAGAAGACAAAATATAAAGGTTAAATCAAAGTTGACTTGAAGGTAAATGCAAGGAAGTCAATTTCCACATGCAAGAAGTGTGATAGAAGAAACTGTTAGCATAGAACTTACGGTTTC